TTATTTTGTTAAAGACGACATCATTGTCCAACAAATATTTCCCTTTCTCTCCATGATACATGATGCCGTTTATTATAAGGATTTAAATAGGTTAATTGATTAAAATGGGAACCTACGTTCTCATATATGAGTCATATTTCAGATCGTATTTTTGTAGTTGCCACATGCTACATCATACTTATATATGTACATACTAAATTCTATAGCATGTTCCTCCAACGAAGCAGATACAAAAGAAATTATAAAAAGGATATAAATATACTTACTTTATTAACCACTTCCAAGTTTAGATTTGGGCTCTTGGTCAGTTCAGTAGTGTATGGTGCATTGTTGTTTTGTATTGCCGTTATGTAAGTAAAATACGAACAACTGGCAAATCTATATATGGGCCAATGGGGCCCATTGACAATCCAAGAGTTGATGATGTATGGTTGTTTCGTATGAGTGCTATTGCACTTAAATATTATTAAAATCTACTCACATTAAAAAAACGCATGCATATGATTGAAATTAAAGAATGCATGAGTCTCTATTTCTATATATTCCCTCTTTCCCTAAAGATGGCATATAAACTCATTTTAAAAGTCAATTAATTTAATTTTTACAAATTATATTGAAGAATATATCAACAACTACAAGATTGAATTAATATATTAACAATATATATTGCATATATTGATTTAGTATTGTTTATCTTCATATTTATGTATAAATACTTCATGAAACTTACATAAGCATTGACTCATCGACTTAGTTTATCTATTTGAGACGAAGGACGAAGTAACTTGCAACATTCAAAAAAAAAATCATGTAGCGTTGTCTTTTATTACCAAGCCAATGTGCAAGATGACCTTTTATGGGTAGCTACGTATCAAGCTGAGTACTGGATCAAATGAATAACACTATCCATATTAGAATTTTTAGAATAAAAACTCCATTGGATGAGTATATGTGTCTTTATATCTGATCATAATTAATTGTGTTGTTAGATCTATAGTATTTTACCGGACCCCTTTAGAGACTATTAGTAAGTTTCTACCAAACAACACTATAAGTTCTTATACCCAATTTCTTATATTGACCATTCTTCTACTTAGTTGAAAAAGTTTTAGGGGATCTAAATAATTTTCTTATCTTGTCCAAATAATTTTCTTATATTGTCCATTCATCTGCTTAGATGCAACGGTCTAATTAATATGGCATGTTTTTTCTAAAAAATAATATTAATCACAAGAATATTCTTATTCAACAATGCTAGCCCGTGCAAGTGCATGGGTTGACGACTAGTATAAATAATTTCAGAGTTTTTGACGTTTTTTGTAGTTACTAATTGTTTTCTACATACCCAGAAACCAAACGTCAGTGTCCAATGATTAAACCCTATAAGCTAAACAGGTTGAGCTGGGCCGGATGTGTACAGTTACGACCAAATAGCGTTGGACTCGAACGTGATCACTGCTATCGGGTGAACTGTGTCGCAGACGGAAATATTGTCGTGGCTTCTTTTCCAATGACGAAGCTTGCCAGAGGTGGTGGTTAGGTCTCACGCCCTGGGTAGGATTTTGGGGAGTTTTGATAGGGATTTGCTAGGGTTTGGTGGTCTCCAAAAACGGCAATGCTACACGTACAAATGATTTACAGGCTTTTACAGGATGGTTAACCTTGATTGGTCAATAGGTGAACGGGGCGGCACACCCTCCTAAAAATCAGGGGGGGAGAGGTTTGTGATTGGTTGTTAGATGGAAGGAGCGTGTAAAAGCGTGTAAGTCTTTGTATGTCTAGCATTTTTGCTCCGAAAATGGTGGATCGGGGTAGGAGAAAGAAGAAGAGGCGCTACAGCTAATTACTCTAATTTGGGGGTGCGGCTAATCTGCACCCGGACTCATCTGCACCCACGCTTAGAAAAAAATTCAAAAAAAATACTAAAAAAATTCAGAAAATTCCAAACTTTTTTGTGGTGGTAGATAATTTGACGCGTGAGGTGCGCCCCGAAATTCAACTCATTTGAGCATCTGAGCAGCTCTCGGTAAAAAAGACAAAATCAGGGTCTGTAAAAATGTGTACTGTTCACGCACTGTTTTGACCCTGATTTGTCTTTTTTGCCGAGAGCTGCTCAGATGTTCAAATAAGTTAAATTTTGGGGCGCACCTCACGCGTCAAATTATCTACCACCACAAAAAAGTTTGGAATTTTTTGAATTTTTCTAGTATTTTTTTTTGAATTTTTTGCTGAGAGGGAGCAGATGAGCCCGGGCACCGTTTTGAGTTTCTCCTAATTTGGCATCTTGTTTCGTGTTTTTTCATTCCCAGCCGAATGGCAGTCTATTAGAGCATCTTCAAAAGAAGATGTAAAACATGAGATGTAAAAATTTACATCTTTAAAAAGTGTTTTTTGCATCCTCAAAAAAGTGCCAACTCCAACAAATAATGCAAAACGGAGATGTAAAAAAGCAACTCCAATAGAAGATACAAACGGAGATGTAAAACTATACTTCAACTACTATTTCATTTGATACATATACTTCAAACATAGCAAATTCTTTTTTTTTTGCAGAAAAAACATAGCAAATTCAACTAGTACTTCACTCAACGTAGTTCTAATTAATAAAAACATAACAAACTCAACTATACTACTGGTTCGAACTACATCAACTTGAACTACATCGAAGATAAAAACTACTCCTCGTCATCGGAGCCCTCAAACCGCTCCCAGAATGCATCCTTGTCTGGGTCGTCATAGACCTCGTCCTCCTCCTCCGAGTCGCCCCAGTCCTCCTTCAAGGACTCGACGGGGATCACCATCGAGGGGCCGGCCTCCTCCTCCTCCTTCTTTTGCTCAGCCTCGCGCTTCCAGAAGAACTCCTGCTCGGCTTGCACATACTCCGGATGCTCACGCGCAAACCTCGCCATTGCCGCCTCGTCGCTATTGCTGGGACTGATGACAATTCCGGGCCTCTTCTTCTTCTTGTTCGTCCTGGTCTCCTCGGCACGAGCAACTCCGCATCCTCCTGGGTCCCGATCTCTGGGAAGTTGAGGCCTTCTTCAGCCTCTCGACACGCCACACCGCATGCGCGGCCTCGTGGACGGTGGGGTACGTGCCGAGCCAAAAGTGGCGGCCAGAATCGAAGAACTCGACCCCGAAGTTGCCGGAGGGCTTCGCCCTCATGCCGAAGAACCCCGTCTTGCCCCTCGGGGTCTTCCTCGACGGCATAGCGACGGCGGGGCAGGGCGGGACGGGGCGGTGCGGTGGGGTGGGGTGGTGCGGCGCGGCGCGGTGGCAGCGAGATCGAGGCGGGCAGAGGAGGTGGGGTCAAGGCAGAGCACGACGGAGCCGGGGCGGCGACGACAGGGTTGGCGCAGAGGGGGAGGGATCGGGGCGGAGCTGGGGTGGCGACGGAGCGGGGCTACGAAGGAGCGGAGCGGCCCGGCATGGTCGGGATGCAGCGGAATGGCGGCGGCTGAAAGTGGGTGGAATCGGAAGCGGACGGCGAGGCGAACGTGGATCCGCGGCGGGGTGGCAGCGGCGCGCTGATTTGGGCGGCGGCTGAGAGGCGGTGCGGCGGCGGGAGGATGAAGGTTGGGGAGAGGGGAAGGAAAGTGGCAGTTGGGTAGTTGGCGGGCGGCCGCATTTTTACATCTCCTGGAGGTGGAGATGCAAATTTGCACCGTGAAGTGTTGTTGCTCCCGTAGATGTAATTTTTTTTTGCATCTACATCATCTGCTGGAGTAGTGTTTTGGGGCTCTGGAGATGCAAAAATTAGGTATTTTACATCTATATATCTTCTATCGGAGGTGCTCTTACAAGTGAACCAAATCACTGCGATAATAAAAGTAAGTGAACCAAATCAGTGCTTTAGAACCCAGCCTTACGTAGTTCTATCCAATCAACCGTTGATTGCTTTAGATAGATGCGTTCTGGACTGTCCGATTACTGAACCTTGAGATGTCGCTATTGTTGTCTCTTGTTCAGTTATCTTCAGAGGGTACTGGGCTTGACATTAGGAGCAAAAGGTAGAGCATCAAGTGGGAGAACCCGATTTGGGCACTAGGGTGGACGAAGAGAAGTCCGGCCATGCAGACTTGCTACAAATTATCGCCAGGCGATGGAACAAACTACTCTTTCCACGGGTTTGGTAAGAGCACGCCATCTCCTGCACATCTCCAACACTGTGTTGCAAAAGACAAACTTTACCACCACTTACAGGTACTCCCTTCGTTTCTTTTTAGTCTGCATATAAAATTTGATCAAAATCAAACTTTGTTAACTTTGACTAAGTTTATAGAAAGGAATATCAAGATTCAAAATATGAAATCAATATTGTTAGATGCATCATGAAATTAATTTTCATACCGTATAGCTTTAGTATTGTGGATGTTGATATTTTTTATACAAAGTTTGACTTTGGCCAAATCTTATATGCAGACTAAAAAGAAACGGAGGGAGTACGTGGATAGATTGTTACAGGTTCAACTCATGTGTTTGCACCTTCTCTAAGTTTTCCCACAAACAGATCCACCTACTGACCTACAGTTTTCACACGTATACGTGTCAGTGTATGGACGGCTTCCCTATCCAAGGCAGATCATATAACGTAGATAATGGTTAAAGACAGACACCATGCACATTGCAAGCTTCCGCCGCGAGTCCGCCAACACATCTTCACCTTTAGCTTTCCATTTCATTTAGTATTAGAGAGTCTAATGACACATGACAACTCCATGCTAGGATAGCCAGTCCATGTTTTCGATAAAAGAATATTTTTATTGCAACGCACTATTGAGATGACACTGCATAACTATAGTTGATTGTCCTCCCTCACCAGAACACACGTAGGAGTAGTATTCTTCAACCTCAAGCCGACCCAGCCGAAAAGAAGAAGCAGGCAGACTATATATGCATGCACTACTGCTCACTCACAAACCCCACCAATTGTGCCCGTGCGTGTTTTGCCACCCAAACTTTTGCAGTCTACTTGGCAGATCCTTGTCCTCCTTAATTTCATGAGGTCGAGCATGCAAGAAGGGATGACAAGCAGTTTAGCTCTTGGATCCTCTCGAGCCGAGGCGTCCTTCAGGGTGTACTACAGCCTCGGCGCCGGCGCCGTGCCGTTCGTCTGGGAGACCAAGCCCGGCACGCCCAGGCGCACCATCGACCCCGTCATCGCCGCCAACGATGCGCTGCCGCCAATCACGCCGCCGCCACTGTACCAGTCCAAGACCATGAAGAAATGCGCAAGGAAGTCATCTTCTTGCTGGCCTCCTCCGCTGATGATGAGCTGGCTAAACATCAGGAGGCGCCACCGTCGTCGTGCAGTCGCGACAACAAGCCTGCACCAGACCGCGGCGTCGAAGATCAACGGCTACGGCGGCGGCGTGCCATCCTTGGGTGCTTCTGAGCCTAGCATGGACCGTTGGAACTAGTGTCTGTACGCCTAGTTAAAAGGTCGATTCACCGGCTAGCTGCTGCACGGGCCCCTTTCCCGTGTTGTTTGACTATATTTTACTCCTCCGTCCCAAAATAAGTGTCTTGAGCTTAGTACAAATTTGTACTAAAGCTAATACAAAGTTAAGACACTTATTCTGGGATGGAGGAGTATCTTTTACGGTTTTGTTTGAGTATAGTTTGAGTGGTACATATATATTGTGGTGTGTGTGCTGGGCCTTTAATTTTCATTTCTGTGGTTAAATTCTGTGTGATTTTCTGATATACAGATTTTATTGAAGTATTTGGCTGTTTTGACTTTGGGGGATCAATAATTGGGCATACATATATCCCTATTGCCTTTTTCCTGCATGATTGTGTTTAATCATACTCTGGGGAAGAAATGGGCTTAGCATAACAAGATATACTGAAGATAAATTTAAAAACCGGAAGGAGTATGACAGGACAAAGTCAGAAGGAGGATGGCAGAAAGCTACAGAAGCACCTACCTCTCATGTAGTTTTCCCATTGCGCTACCTAAGCCAAGATACTTTTGGAGTTTAAGAAATGTGATAAAAACTCTCATTTGGTTCAGATGTTGGTTTTAAAGCCATAAAAGACACGTCTGGTTTTGGCTTAATTTCAAGCCATAATCACAGTAGCATGCAGCTGAACGAAACAAAGTTGTTATTCTTGATATTGCAACATGTAGAATTACCCAAATTATTACTGCAGATCAGATGAATGAAATTTGGAAGCATATAATGGAGACTGCATTTGATAGCATTGTAAACTTTGATAGGTGTAAGTGTACTACCCTCGTTAGAGGGCCGCGGTTTATATATTGATTGGACGGGGCTTATCCCGTAGACCGCCGGGATGATGAAGATGGACTTCGGTCATGATTTCCCCTCTCCGGCAGGGTGCCGAAATAGGCTCCAGATAGTATTTCAAAGGTACAGAGGCTTGCAGCGGCAAAGTTGATGTTCTAGGGTTATTTCTGGTGGTTTCTCTATTTATAGAATTTTTTGGCGTCGGTCTCACGGTAAGATGGGCTAAGAGCATCTCCAGCCGTTGGCCCTCTCCCCAGGGGGCGCATAAAATCACCGCCTAGGGGTGAGCCGGCGCAAAAAATCGGCCCGGGGGCGAGTGGGTTCCCAGCCGCCGACCCCAGGGCCGCCCCCAGGCGCCGTTTATGTTTAAAGAAAAGGCAAAGTTCGGCCAAAATACAGCTAAAATTTGGCAAACTGGGCATATATTAGACATGTTCGACATTTTACATAGCAAATTTATTAAAAAAAGGCCGGAACTACAACTACGGGACGGCCAAGTCGCTGAACGCGGCAAAGTCGCCGCCGTCGCCGCCATCGTCGGCGGCGGCCTTCTCCTCCTTGATGCGGCCGCCCCTGCTGGACCCCTGCCCGGCGTCGCCATGGCGGACCGGTGGCGGTGGCGACGTGTCGTCGTCGTCGCTGTCATTGAGGACGACGACGCCTCCTTCGTCGCGGCCCCGGCGCCGATGTTCGAAGTGCTCCAGGGCACGGCGCTGGCGCTCCATCTCCATTTGCAACCAGTCATCGCGCGCCCATTTCAGGCCCGCTGCCTCGTCGAGCTCCGCGGCGCCCTCGACGTCGGGCACGGGGGGAATAGGCACACCCCCGTTGCTGAGCCTACACCCCATCGGCCCGGCGCGAATGCCCGATGGCGCCGGGATGTTCGCCTCGAAGAGCAGCCACGCCTCCCACTCGTGGAGCGAGCGGCGGCCGAAGCCGTTGGCCGGCGCCGCGTCGCCGGGGAATCGTGCGGCCATCGGGTTTGGGAGAGAGGGGGAGGGACGGAAGAAGTGTCGGCGAGCGGTTGCGCATGGGGGGAGAGGGAGAGCTCGGCGGGGGTAGATCGCGGCTGTGGGCTAGTGTGGCCAGAGGCGAGGGAGGCCACCGGCTTATATAGCCTACACCGTGTGTACGCGTGGCGGGAGGGGAGGCGTCACCGCGCCGCCCGTGACGCGTCGCCCTTGAGAATCAATGGCAAGGCTGACCGGCGGCAGCCTTGCCATTGATTCCACGCGAGAAACCGAGGCGTTCCGATGATGACGAGGCACGTCGCTGACTCGGCAGGCCCGCGGCTCTTTCGCGTCAAAACCGCTCGCCCCCGGCTGCCCCCCAGCGCGCCGGGTTCGGCCTGGATCCGCCGGCGCTGATTTCGGCCCAAGCCGGCAAAAAATGGGCTCCTGGGGACGCGACTGGGTCGTTTTTCCGGCGCCGGCGCAAAAAAATCGCCTGGGGGCCATGTTGGGGGCGCGGCTGGAGATGCTCTAAGGTGGGCCCACAAACCACCACGGCATCAGCACCCCCTGGGCGCGCCTTGGTGGCTTATGGGGCCCTCGTGGCTCTTCTGGACTTCCCACGAAGCTTCGTGGTCTCTTTTGTTCCAAAAAAAAACGTCAAAAAGTTTCAACCAATTCTGAGAACTTTTATTTCTAAACGAAAACAACACCACGGTAGTTCTGCTGAGCACTGTTGTAACGCCAGGATAATCAAGCTATAGTAATCCCCTGCTAATAATGCCAAGTCAGAACCGATTTGAATTCAAATTTAAAATAAAGTCAAAATTTATAGTTATCAAATGTCAAAACTAAAATGTTTTAGGTGAACCAACATTTTGTTAAAGTGTTTAAATGCCCTAAACTAGATCAAACAGGGGCTAAAACAATTATTAAACGTATTAAATCATAAACAAATATAAACCTATTTTATTGAAGTGCCAAATCATTTGTGGTAGTGGATAATTTAATAATACTAATTTAGGGGCTAGTGTTGTATTTTACAAAGCTAAAATAAAATGCAACTAAAAGGGAAAATACAAACTTTAAAAAACAAAAGAAAAAGAGTCAATTACACCGGTGGTGCTAGAACTTGGCGCAGACGATCACTTTAGTGCTAGAACTTGCGGCATACATCGAAGTGATGTAAAAACTTGGTTCGGACATACAAATACGGTGCAAATCTCATTTGTATATGCCGACGATGCTGACAAGGCATGCCAGCGTACGCCCACTGTCATTGACCGCACTGTGGAGTCTGGGTATGTGGTGTAGTCTTTTTGCCAAAAGCTCCTCGAATTTGTATTTGCTGTTTTTTTCTTATGAAAAGGCCCCTGCCGGGTTTTGAACCAGCGCCCTGAGATGTTCAAGCAAGTGGGCCTACCAATAAAAGCAAGCTATTTGGTGGCTACAGAGGATTGTCAACCTTTATATGTACACAAAAGAACGACCACAGGGCTAAAACAAAATACAATTAGTAGGACCCATTTTAAACATGTTAGTTTTTTCTTTTTCATTTTTCCAAATTTGCAAAACATATGTAAATATGTATTCATTTGAGAATCTGCAGTCTGAGGGCGCGCTAGTGTCATTTTTTCATACATATATTTATATCTATTTAAAAATACATATATATTTCTTAGAAAACACACAAAAATTATTCAAATGCATAAATACTTTAAAAAACATATAAAAAATTAAATCATGATCACTTCTAGGTACAACACGAATATTCTATAAAAAGAACTTGTAAATGTTTTGAATGTATATGATAAATTTTGGAAGTATACATATTTTCTAAAACTACTTTAATTTTTTATTTAATATGCAATTTAAAAAATATATACATATAATTCATAGTTTAACTTGATGGTTTTTCTAATTAATAGGTGAGATTTTTTCGTCTATTTTATTTTATTTATAGATATATTATTCATAATTAGAAAATAATTTTCTAAAATCGTAAAATGAAAAAAGAACTAACATAATTGTAGCCACGAGCACGTTATGTCATACTATAAAAAATGTAACAATTCTATATAGACATGAGAAGTGTGTCAAAAAATATATAGATATGAGGCTCCATTAGTTGGAGTGGCAAGACTTCATGTTTGTTTTATTTGCTGGTTCGAAACTCCATGGGCATAACTTTTTTTTCTAGATTAAAATTTTCAATTTATGTTACTTAATCCAAAGATTTTTTTTAGGGGTATTTAATCCAAAGATATAAAACGTGCGTAAGCACATGTCTCGTCAACTTAACTTTGGGCCGGTGGCTGCGCACACGCTGTATATCGGGGTGACCTGTTCGATTCCCTTGGTGGCCTATTTTTTCATTGTAATAAAAAGTTTGTGATGCATACCTAATAGGTGGGACCCTCCGACTGTACACCTGGCAGGGGCCTTCTCGTGAGAAAAATAAAAAATCGAGGGGATTTTTGCCAAAAGAGCAAGCCACACGCCCCTGTCTTCACCACGTTGTCACTGATAATAAAGATAGGACATACCGGTTGATCCGAGACCTTCATGCTCAATCCAACCTCCCGTGGGTTGCTATTGGTGATTTCAATGAGATATTGCTATCGTCAGAGAAAGAAGGAGGAGCCCCACGGCAGCAGGCTCGACTTCAAGCCTTCCAAGATGCCCTGTCGGACTGCTTGTTGGAGGACATTGGCTATCATGGTGATAAGTTTACCTTTTTCAGAGGAGGATTGCGTGAAAGGCTAGACCGTGCTGTTTCGAATTCGGGATGGATGGACATGCACCCGTTATGTGGCCTGATAAATCTGGACATGGGCAAGTCGGACCACCGTCCGATATGTTTAGATACAGAGTACCTTGTGGGAGTCGCAGCACAGCGGCGTCGTTCGGGGAGAAAATTCGAAGCAAGGTGGTTAGAGGAGGAAGCTGTGGAAGAAGTGGTGAGAACGGCGTGGCAGAAGGCCGTCGTGAGGGGGCTCTGTCCCTCAGCCAGCGACAAGTTGGCAGCAGTGCATAAGGATCTCCATCAATGGGATCGAAAAGTCTTGAAGGGTCCTCGAGCTCGACTGAAAGCAGCCCAGCAGGAACTAGAGACACTAATGCGAGCGCCTTTTGATGCCGGTGCAAGAGCAAAACAACAAGAGTTGACGTTGAAGATTGAAAACCTTCTCGAGCAGGAGGAAATCTACTGGGCTC